CAAAAAAAAAAAAAAAATAAAATCCAGAAAAAGAAAATCATCGAGGTTTCCAAACCCTAACCCTCCCCGCGTGGCGCAACCCGCCCACCCCACTGCACCCCAGTCCTCCCACTCCCCGCGGGGTAAAACACGAAGCGAGCTCCCCCCGGGACACCGCTGCCCCGGGGCTGGGGAGTGGAAGGGATTATCCGGGTTTAAACACGATCGGCCATTTATGCAAATAGCATTCTCCACACTTGTAAGTTTAAATAATTATTTGAATTTTCCACTATTGTATTAATTGTATTTTCCACCTGTAATTAGTTGTAATTTCCAGTGCTACAGCCTCCCGATCCACCGAGCAGGCACGGGGAGAAGGCAGAGCCGTCTCCATCCCCAAGGCTTTTTTTTTCTGCTTGTAACCGCCCGGGTGAGATCCCGAAAACCAGCTTAAGGAGAGAGCACGACAGAAAACAAACAAATTAAACAAGGTGTGTAAACAGAAGTCGGGGAGAAGAGTAGGCGACACCGGTTTTTCAGTCCCATGCACATCACCAGCGGCTTTGAATTGACAGTTTCAGTACAGGTCGGGGTTTTGTGTAAAGTCGCTGTTTCGTGTCACTGCTTCCTCCGCGACTTTCCGAAGCGGGAGCTTGCGGGACCCCAGCAGAGCCCGCAGTGCCTGGCTGGCTGGTGAGGATCACCCGTCGACACCGCGGGCACGAAGGGACGTGGGTGGTTGCGGGTGGGGAAATGAGCTTTAATTTCTGGGGACAAATACTTGAAGGTTTCGAGGGAATAGCGCTGCGCGAAGCACTAGAACAGTCTTCCAAGACATCTCTCTCCATACCGCTGCTGCAGCTGGGCTCTGAGGATGCCCCGAGAAACAAGGACAACTTCCAGCAGCTCATGCCCTGCAGCAAACCTCTCCCAAAACTGGAAGTGGCAGGAGCCGGGGCTTCAGAGGTGTGGGGGGGGGAAAGGCGCACACGCAGATCTGAGCTCCAGCGTTGGGGATGCTGTGTCCGGGATAAAACATTGCTCTTCAGACCTTGCTGTCGGTCTGTGAGGTCCTACAGAGAAACTCAGGGCTGGCTGGGTGGATTTCAGTCGTCGGAGAAATCCTAATCAATCATTGTGCTTAGCGGGCAGCACCCGCGGAGCTGAGCCCCGAGCACAGCCTTGCAGGTGCAATTAGAAGCAAGAGCTAACACAAGGCAGTGAGTGAGCCCGTAGCGATATTTGCGGAGAGATGCCAGGAGAGCGCTGGGGTCCCACAGCGTATACTGCACGAAGAAGACCCCTTGCAAAACCCGCATTCATACCCCAGCCTCACTCAGTTCCAGGAGCAACTCAGTGGCAAAGCTCAAGTTTAGATGAGCCCCATCAAACGCTAAACTCACTGTGAACGAAGCAGCAGCTCTGGCATCCCCTTCCCAGGCTCCCACAATCCCCCCAGCATCTTCTTTTTTTTTTTTTTTTTTTTTCCCCAGGACTTTTACTGCTCAGAGGAGATGAGCCAAGACATTTCCTTCTCCCCTTTCATAAATATTGCATCTCCCAAATGCAATTACCAAGGGCGAAGCGACACAAGTGTTTGCTAAATAAGATTATGTGATAATGTTAATGTATTTTATGCCTGTGCTGTGACACCAGACAATCCCCCTATTAATAACAGCTCAATGAGATGTGGAAGTTCTTAACAGGGTGCTTTAGGGGATTGGGAATTTTTTTTTTTTTTTTTTTTTTTTCACCAGGTGAAGGCAAGCGCAGTACCATGGCATGGGTTGTAAGGGAGGAAGAGCCATTCCCAGGGACCAACTGAAATGGCAAGCGGAGCCGTAAGTAGCCCAGAGGGTCCGGTTGTGCTGTAGGTAACGCACAGATCAGTTAGCCCCTAACAGGGTGTAAATCACTCACAGCACTTCATAATGCAACAGGCCTAGGGAGGTTTGTGTACATTATCATGATCCTGTGACTGAATTACTGCCTGGCTATCAGCCATGCATTATCCAACATTTGGGAGCCCTGTGGGTTCATCAGAAGTGCTCTGTGGCATCCCCAGCTATTAATAACAGGCAGAGCTGCACCTCTCTCCCCAGCTATCGCGAGACCAAGAAAAGCAACAACAAAAAGCATTCGTTGGTCCAACTTCCCTCAGTCAGAACAAAATACCCCCATCAAATCTTGGGGCTCCTCTGCTGATCTCCAGTTCCCCAAGCTTTAGCCTCTTGTTACTCCTTCTGTCCAGTGGCAGTGTCCATCTGCCACCTCCCGTGGACTCATTCATCCCTTGTGGTCTTCTGCCTCTATCGCATGACTGTCAACCATTTGCATATGGCCAAAAGTAACCGGGCATATTGGTTGCCCAGCCTAAGACATTTAGATGTGGCCCCTTTTTAGAAAGTCCTTTGAAAACTCTGTGCTGCACAGCCCAGGCTTTTCCAGCAGTCCCCGCTCCCAGCGCCCACAGGGTTAACAGAGAAGCACCAGCTCTCAAGTCCATCCATCTGCAGGGCACACAGCAGCCCCATGATAGTGGGAAACGCAGCAACTTTCTCGTGCTGAGCTGCCCACGGGGCACCACGTTGAAAGTGGGAGCAGCCGCAGCCTTCAAGTCAGGGATTTCCCTTTAGCCCTTTCCTGCAGACCCGCTTCAGCCCTTGAGCGGACAGCGTCAATCCCAGAACCACTGGCCAGAGCTTGGTCCTCTGGGTGGCAGGGCCATCACC